CTAGTATAGCCTACGGTTATCAGTCCATGTCGTTCTCAGCAGGCCAGAACTATTATACTAACTGTTTTAATTCAAGTAGGTAGCCAAAAGGGAGCTGGAGCTTGTTCTAGTCGAGACATCCGCATCTTCAATTTTGAAAATTTACCAAGATTGATTAATGAAGTTAGCCAATCACGTGATTTACAAAATCAGTCATGCATACGATATCCCACATCAAATTTGATGTGGGAAATTGCACGCATGAATCGTTTGCCCAGGCCCTAATTCGAAAAAGAAGAAATTGAGTATGGGACGCCAATTAAATTAGGTATGGCGTGCACTAAGTGCAATAAAGAGTTAGTAACCTAAAATTAGGGCCTGGAACCCAGGCTAGGTCTACAGGAGTTCGTGCTTCAAACAGGTCATTCCATTCTTAGAAGAAGCATTTTGATGGAGAAAGTGCACCTTTTTAGCAAGGTTTGCCTAGGTCGATACTAACTCCGGCTATGTAAAATTGATTAGAAGTTAGAAAAATGTTATTCTTATTAAAGAATAGATATGGACTACTACATCTATTTTTTATTGATCTAATCTACGTAAATTAACATTTAGAGTTAATAATTATAATTGTTTAAGTATAAATTTAAAATTACAAATATTATGGGAATAATCATCTAAGTTTATAATAATATTTAATAATATTTAAATATAGCAATAGTAACTAATGTTACAATTATGTTATTGTTTATTGAAGTCTACAAAAAAAGATAGGAAGGAAGAAAAACAAAGAGGTCCGGAGCAGCTTACATTTGTACCAAATTTGTATAATAACGATAATGGCTCGTAACCATATTTTACATGTTTGTATATTAGTTAGTTAGTAAATTTTGGACACTAATCATCAAAGGTCAAGTTGTCAAGTCTACATGTTTCATAATTGCATGTTTGAAGAAGTGCTTCCAGGAGCTTCTCATGATACGCAGGAAACTTGGGACACCTGTGATAATAATGTGTTCACATAAATATAGAATGAAATGTGTTCCAAAAACCTACTTCAACAGGTCATCCTTTCCTTCCTTTTGAAGAAACTTGTTGAATTATTCCAATGCTTGTTTGTCCTGGAATATCTCCTCCAGTAAAATGACCATCATTGGTCCCACGCCATCCTCCTCGTCCCAGTTGCGGAAATACCTCTGATACTCGGGGCCCCCAACTTGCCTGATACGCCGTTAACAGTGAGCTTTTGCAAAGTGACACTTTCCTAGAAGGAAAACAATTAATAATGCACAGAATATTTATTATATCTATATTATATACTTGTTTATATTATGTTTATCATATTTTTATATTTATTATAGTGGCGTAACAACAAATCAAAATGTTGTGGCAATGTGTATTAGCAATTGATTAAGAGTGTGGTTGAATGTGTAGTTGAATAGCTTGGTGGTTGGGTGTAGTTGTGTTGAATAGCTTCAATTCCTGTCAGTGTTGCAGGAATTTTTCCCACAACCAAAACAACTCCACTCCCCGGCTAAATCTCATATTGAGATTTAGTTTGTGTAAAAGCATCGTGTGTGTATGTTTGTCTTGTGTAAGGGATTGTCACCTACAAGTAGGACAGTGATATATTCGCTATTGGCAATCCTTGGCACATGCACAAAAAAAAGAAGAAAGTACTGTAGTCACAAAATGTCATAGCCTGTTATATTACTCAAATTCTCTGTGAATTTTAGTAGCACATTACATTCATGAGTTAAAAACCAGAAATTATATATTTTTTGCTAGTTTTTTGCTGTCTTCTTTTAGAAGGATATTGTGTATTATAATAATTACTAGGGACCCTGGGCTTTGCCCCTCCTCCCTCGAGCCCATCTAAAACTTACCTGGTTGAGGTATCTTTTCAGATTACGTGCCTTCAACAGCTCTCCTTTACCAGCTCCCTTTGATGTCTTTGTTCCTACTTCTAATCCCTTTGCCTTCTTCATATTTTGAATGTTGGTTGCTTGCATAATTTCAGTTAAAATGTGACACCTAAAAATGAAGAAATCATCAATTATTAGTCAATCAATCAATTAATCATTACTATAAGATTTTAATTATTATTTTTCTCATTTTTATCATTATTATTTTTATAATTAGAGAGGAATAACTTCCTTTTTTGTTACTTTGATATGATTTAGAAAATGTTATATTCAAATATCTATATCTTAATAATCATTGAAAAATGAAAGACTGGAAAAGAAAAAAGTGAAGAAATGCAATGACCGCACATCAGGGCAAGAACTGTCTCTTATACACATCTAGATGTGTAATATTACATTGACTATTTTGAATAATTAATTCATAAATATATGCATCAATTATAAATAAGGAACCTGATTTGTTAAAGTTCTTGGGTGTCATGACAGCTATTAAACTGCTTAAAATTTCAATACATTGACAATTTTGAATAATTTATTCAGCCCATGAAATTATGAAAAAATTAGGTCGGCAAAAATTTGCCGACCTTAAATTCTCCGAGGTCGGCAGCCTCGGCAATTTTTTACTACCTAGGCCTATAGTATAAACTATGATTTTTCCGAACGCTCGACCTTACTTACATCGTCATCTACAGATTGTGATTTTGTTAATTTCTCTATTAAATCAATATATTGCTGGTGAAAGAATGGTCGTACTGTAGTTGTATTAATTTAATAGCGTAGTATAATACATATGTTTTACATAAGAAAACTGCCAAATAAATTTCGTTTTAGCGTTCGTTTTATCGTTATCTTTGGCATGGGAAATATCACTTTCGTAAAAGCTATGATCGTATCATCACAGGCTGCTTCAAAACTGCCATGCATGTCCATGTCCATGCACATGCCCAGAATGATCTATCAGGGATTTCCCACACATGTACTGTGTACTTGTCAGTAGTAAAGTCACGATGCGGTCGTGATTGCATTTAAACGGGCAGTAAGATTAGGCCTACAATATGTAGAATTTTGTTGTTTTTAGATAATAAACAACATTTTAAATATGATAATAATACTGTAAAATAATGGCCAAAATAAAATAATGGCATGTTAAATCTTTGAAATCTATTTTATTACACTAAACTAAATTTTATATATTTATATATCATGCTATGATGTTATTTTCCTCATTTTCAACATTAAAGCTAAAATTGTTAACAACTTACTGATGGTTTTTGCTAGAGAAATAACCAAAATCATAAACTTTAGAGACTGATATCTCAAATATTGTTCTGTAAACAACTCTATGTAGCTTTATTTTGAAATGTTGGACTTAAATGATTCTTTCACCATTTTATAGCTCTCATTTTACTGTTTAACCATGAATTAACAACTAAATATTGATTTTTGTGACGAGTGACTGGTTTGGCTGGTCTTTGCCACATATACATATCTTATCAGATCTTTGGAGATTTCAAGGCAGTAGAGGGTGTAATAACATTTTTTTTAAACTTTTATTTTTTCTGAAATTTCCATTAAAATTTTATTTTTATTTAAAATCATCAATATTTGCAAACGGCGGGTTCGCTAAACAAGGTAAAAAAAAATCTCACCTTAACTCACTTGCACTGTTCAGTTCACCTAGTTTACTAACCCATGCAACATCAACTACATATCAAGTTAATCAGGTTAATACACATCATCACTTGGTTAAGTAATATGTGCTGATCACCAGTATTTGAACTAGAAATGATCCTTTTATGCTGGGCAGTAAATGCATAGCCCCCTCACAGTGTGATTATTTTCTTTTGAAAACAATCAGACTTACCAAACTTAAATTATTGTATTAACAAACAATTTACTACAACAGCGACAATGACATCAACATGACAAAATATTACAATTACAAATAAATTAGAAATTTTTTTTGGGAATTATGATAGTATGTAGCGTAAATTTCCTGATTAGTGAATTATTAATTATGCAAATGAGCAATTAGCATATTCACACATGTACCAAATAAACAATAGGCTCCGTCTTCCTAAGTCTAGTAGATAGTAATATATTAATATTAAATATATTCTACCGCATTCCACCAGCAAACCAACTTTTGTGCACCAAGTTTATTTAATTTTCATACAAATAATTAATGTGCAAATTCAAAATACATGAATGTAAGTATAATGAAAGAAAGAATACAAATACTATAAAAAAAAAAAGTATGTAAAATGTTTGATTAGGCGAGCAGATGGTAGCCGATCATTTCGGTCGCGCTTCGTTTCGGTCGCGCCTTATTTCGGTCGCGGTTTATTTCGACCAAATATATGGAGCACCGAAGGAGTTGTGGAAACGCAAAATTTAATATGCCTAGGCCTTATATATTATTATAATTAGTTCGTCAATCGGTTTATCATAGGCCTAAGTATTTTTTTTATTTCCGTTTTGCTATCTTTCTACTAACAACATTTTATCTTTCTTTCATA